TCCGCTGAGGCAGAGGCTTTGACCACAAAATTAGCAAAAAGAAAGACTTATTTGTGTCCGGCTTTGAGAACGACCCAAGGGTTTGCTCCCGCCGTTAAGACTTTGTCGGCCAAAAACGTGAGAGACAGACTTGGCAAGTAGTCATCGAGGCCTTCGATTTATGGTCGTTTAGGACTAGAGACAACGGTCAAAAAGACTGTTTTTGACAAGGATAACATTTGGTAAAGGTTCTGGCTCGAATGTACAGGAGGCAAGACAATAGACGGTCAAGAGGAGGCCTAGTGTCCCAAAGCCTTAGGTTTGGAAAAAGTCTATCCAAACTTACATGTTATTATTTCAATTTCCTAGTAGTTTATACATAAATTCTTGGTTTTATCCAATTATTTCCTAATTTCCATTATATTTTGTTTATTTCAGCATAGTTTATGTTAATTTACGTTTTCATGCTTGTTATATCCGAATAGCAGTAGATTTTAGTCAAATTTCTCAAATTCAGCTGTTAAGGCTCGAAGTAGTACAACGGCTCCACCGCTTGAGCCGTTTCCCGATACGACAACGTACAGACTTTGTGAAGTGCTACCATAACTCACACCGCTTGATTCAGGGCGCATCATATTCAGAAAAGATTCAGAGCCCGCTTTCGAAAAAATATACGTTGGAGACACGCGAAAATTCATTTTTTAGAACCGACAACTATTTTTTTTTTCTTATAATATTTTATTAAATATTATTTAAATACAAAAACTCTAAACCAAATTTTCACATAGCAAACCCAAATAAACACCATAATTACCTGTCATAGATGAACACATATTACATGTGCTTAATAGGAATCATAATTTTAAAATATCGCTTTAGACATTCCTAATTTTGAGTATTATTTTTAAAATGGAAGAGATGACTGTTGTAAGAAAATATATAAAATAGTGTAGACTAAAATAAAAAATGATTTATTTAGATAAATATTACAATTATTTCATAAATAATAGAAAAAATAGCATAATACTTCAATTTGGTTTTCAAAATTTGCTGAAAAGCTCTGTATATAAAAAAATCATATTATTACCTATTCGTTGTTCCAATTGTATAAAAAAAAATCCTCTCGTTAGTACTTAATGACGATTGCAATTTACGCACCCAAATACAACTGCTCCATAAGTTGTACTTGTACACTGTAGTAGTACGATAATCGTACAGTCTCTTGTATTGTTTGATCATGCTCACCTCAACACGTGAAGTTTAACGGTCGTACTACCTTTATTAGTAGTTGTACTTTGGGTGCGTGAATTATAATTGTTTTTTTAATTATATTTATTATTTTTTATGAATATATATATTATTTCTCCATAAAATATATATTCAAACTAATATTCAAATAAAATCTAGCAAAAACTATCAATTAAATAACTAATAGCAAATTAAAAATATAAAATAAATTGAAAATATAAGTAATAACCTTAATTTATCCAAAATATCTATTTTCATTTCTTAACATGCTCTAATTTTTTATTTTTTTATTTTTATAAATATGATTTATAGTTTCACCTTTCATTTGTCACATTTAAATAGGGATATAATATAATTATGAACTGAACTGAAACTGAATGAATTATACATATATAAATATATTTGGTTCGGTTTCGATCAACCAAAAAATAAAAATAAAAAATTGAAACCAAATCCAACTAAACATACACCAAATAATATTAAATATTTGTATTTCAACCGAAGTTGCTTGATTAACCAAAAATTCAGTTCGGTTCAACATTCTATTCGATTCTTTTGTTGACCCTTACCCAGCACCAGGACTGTTCCTGGGCCCGGGCGAAAGGGGCATCCGCCCAGGGTCCAATCTAAATTGGGGTCCATTATTTATTTAAGTTATATGTAAATCATTTATATATACAAGTTATTTGACATTAATGTATTAATACAATAGTTTGGTTTGATGGTTAAGTTCTATTATTATTATATTTTGCATATAAAATATTAGGAAATTTATATTATTTAATTATTTATATTTTATTATAGATAAAAAATATATTATTTATACATATTTAGGGGCCCCTAACTTTTGTTTTAAGATTGTTAATATTAATACTATTATTGATATTTTATTTAAAAAATCTAAAAAAATATTTTATTTAATAATTTATATTCTATAATAGGTAAAAAAAATCGAAGTAGATTATTTCTATATATATTAAGTGGTCTTTTATTTTGTTTTAATTATTTTTTTTGCACTAAAAAAATAATAAATATTAGATAAACTTTTTATTATTATTAGTAGGAAAAATTATCAATAACTCCTTTATGATTTCGAAATTCAATATAAATTCTCTATATACTTTAAAAATGACATGAACCCCGTTATACTTTAAAAAACGTTCAATGAAACTCATTTTTATATTTTTTTTGTGTACTTTTTGTATAACGGGGGTTTCATATAGCGTTTGTTAAAATATAAAGGAGCGTTACGCAATTTGTAAACTATATGAAAAATTTATGCTAAGTTTCGAAACTAAATTTATGCTAGCAAAAATATATATATTTTTTTAATTCATATTTTATTATAAGTAAAAAATATTATATATATATATATATTTAAGGGCCTCAAACTTTTGTTTCGCCCCGGATTCTTCAAAAGTCAAGAACGACCCTACCAGCACCCATTATAAGAATATCCTATTAAATTAAAATATAAGTGCAAAAAGTTTTTACATAAATAAAAATACAAACTAAGTATCATTTAAATAATTTTATATTTCTGCATAAAAATAAATATATATCTTTCGGATGGACAAATAATAGCCCGGGTTTGGTTGGTTTCGGTTTGAGTTGGATTTTTCATTTTTATTTATTTTTAAGTTTAAACACTTTGTTCGTTTCCTTCATCAACTGAATAACTGTAGTTAAAAAATTTTTGAATACGAAGATTTAGAAAAATATTATTTTTATATTCTTGTTGAAAAAAAATAAAGATATAATTTATTTTTTCGTAAAAATAAATTAATGTAAATAAAAAATAATATTTTAAAGAGGAAAATATTATTTTTATATTCTTGTTTCTCATTAACGAAGATTGAAAATAAAAAATGTAATAACATATGTGTAAATAAATGTAAAAATAATGAATAAAAATTTAAAGAGAAATGGTACTTATTTACTAAAATAAACATAGTTTTAGTGAACAAAGAAGCACTATTTTGGTATAATGTTTAATGAGAAATTTTTTTATTTTTATTAAAAATTTTGCGGACTAATAGTGAAATTTGAGTTTGAAATTCGCAACAAATAAAATGTTAATACAAAAATAAGATTTTAAATTTTAGTGTTTAGTGTTTAAAGTTTCAGTTCAATGTTTCTATGTGTTATTTTAGAATTTTAAATAATGTATATTTACATGAAATTTGTTATGATAGTATAGAGTGAAAAATTGTTTCATTAAAAGAATACACAATTTCAATATAAGTATGTAATAATTAAGTTTGAAAATTAGAATTTAAAATTTGTATATAGCATTTAAAAGTATTCTATTTTAGGGTTCATATTATAAATGTTGAGTTTAATGATAGGATTTGTGTCGTTACAATATACTGTAATTAATAATAAGGTAAGAAAATCATAATTCATTATAATAATAATAAGTGAATAAATAATGTACTATATATCGTCCATGTAAGTCGTCGGCGTGTTTGGCTTTGATTTGAGCTTTTTTCTTTTATTTTTATTTTTTTTTTAATCTTTATTTAAATATTATTTTTTTAATTCAATATTAAGGTTTTATTCTTTATGTTATTTATGTAATATTAAAAATACTTTCATTGGTCACGCCTCTCTAAGAGTCACATATATCTTTTGTGTCATTATACTTAATATTAAAAATATTTTTATATTTATATAATTTTATATAAAAATATCATTCTATTAATATTATAAGACATTTATGTAAATATTTTTGCAATTTTTTCTTAATTTGTATTACGTTTTGATATAATAATTAATATTAAAAGATCAACACGCAGCAAAGTAAATGAAAGTCTTAGAGACAGATGAAAATAACATATTATTATTTAAAGATTAACACGGAAAAGTTGTAAACTTTCGAAGCAAACGGAGGGAATATTTCAATTATTCATTCAATTTTATTTTTTTTTAATTTTTTTCTTCAATAATTAATATTTTTTATGTATCTTTAAATTTTTTATAAAATTACTTTATGTTAATTATATGTAAATATTTTTTGTATATATTTTATTGATATACTATAATTTTCAAAATACTTAAAAATATATATTTTAAAAAATTCTATTTATATAAATTATTTTTTATTTTTATGTTATCAACAATATTACTCGTATAAAAAAATAATATTATAATCCAGTATTATTAACCGACTAATATTTACTGCTCCCTTCATCTCATATTTATCTATCAATTTATTTTTTGAAAGAAATTTTAAAATTATTAATATTATACTGTGATAGAGTAAAAATAAATGTACAAAAAAATAAATTAACTTTGTGTTGTATAATATAAAAATGATATTTTTGTAATATACTCCCTCCGTCCCATAACAAAGTATATATTTTTTATTTTATTCTCTCCCATAACAAAGTATCCAATTTTTTTTTAGTAATTGTACTGTCTACCTAACATCACAAATACCCTTGCAACTTACAATATATTACACAAATATCATTACTTTTATATCACACGTATTAATCCTAATATAATATTAATATTTCTAAAATTACGTGTAAAAAAGCAAATAATACTTACTCTTGGGACGGAATGAGTATTATAAATTAAAAATATATTTGTAATGTTACCGAAAATGGATAATTGTTATCGAAACTTCAAACATTAAATAAGGGAGGGAAAATGGTTTAATGGGAATATGCCATGGAAACAAAGAAAGTCAAAATTCGGAATCTGAGAAATGGGCAGCCAATGAAAACCCAGAAAATGTACACGTAAGCAAACAGGCACGTTGCGTTCTATTCATCGTCGTCCCGCGTATTTAACACTACACTGCCAATTACCAAAACACCTTACGACTATGCTTCCCAAATCTGCAACCCAAATTTATTACTAGTTTCTTCATTTTCAATCTTACCACCGAAAACGACGACGTTTGATCGATTGATTAAATCATTCTGAATCAAAATGGAGACATTTCTCCTCATCTTCTACCTGATCACCACCGCCGCAGCCTCGCCGGAATATACCCGCCCCAGCCCCCGCGCCCTCGTCACCCGCCGCTACGACGGCTCCGATTCCGATCCCCAGCAGGTCTGCGAAATTAATCGATTTGATTTAATTCAATTTAGGGTATTTGGGATATGATTAATTGATTTCAGGTGCATATTTCGTTGGTGGGGAAAGATGGGATGAGGATTTCGTGGATTACGAAGGATGATAAAGTGAAATCTGTTGTAGATTACGGCACGTCGCCGGGAAAGTACACGGCAACGGCGACCGGCGACGGCACAAGCTACCGTTACTTCCTGTACAAATCGGGGAAAATTCACCACGTCAAGATCGGGCCTTTGCAGCCGAGCACGACGTATTATTACAGATGCGGCGCTCAGGGCGGCGAGTTCAGTTTCCGGACTCCGCCGTCAGGTTTTCCGGTAGAGTTCGCCGTCGCCGGTGAGTATGCCCCTGGACCCCAGATCCCAGGACCTTCCGATTTGTTCCACCGTTTCAAGTTGGTTGAATTGAGACTTGCAAGCAACGCCCTTTTTGTAAATGATTTTATTAAAATTTAATTGCAGGCGATTTGGGTCAGACAGAGTGGACAGAATCGACGCTATCCCACATCGGGGGCCAGGACTACGACGTCTTCCTGCTCCCGGGCGATTTATCGTACGCCGACACGCAGCAGCATCTTTGGGACTCGTACGGGCTGCTGGTGGAGCCGTACGCGAGGTCCCGGCCCTGGATGGTTACAGAGGGAAACCACGAGATTGAGAGGTTCCCAATCGTGTATCCTGAGGGGTTCCGGGCCTACAACGCCAGGTGGGTGATGCCGTACGAGGAGAGCGGGTCGAAGTCGAACCTCTACTACTCATTTGAGGTGGCGGGCGTGCACGTGATGATGCTGGGGTCGTACACGGACTTCGAGTCCGGGTCCGCGCAGTACGGTTGGGTGCAGGAGGACTTGGGGAGGGTGAACAGGAGCCGGACTCCCTGGATCTTGGCGCTGATCCACGCTCCCTGGTATAATTCGAATCGCGCCCATAGAGGGGAGGGAGAGAGCATGAGGAAGGCCTTGGAGGAGACGCTCTATAAGGCCAAAGTCGACCTCGTCTTCGCCGGACATGTTCATGCCTACGAAAGATTTGTGAGTTTTTTAATTTTTCTTTTTTAAATATTATAATATTTTATATTTTTTAATAAAATATCAAATTAATTAGTAATATTTTATTATTCTCAAAATTTTAAAACTCCAAACTTCCCAAACTCTCGTGTAAACGGAGTCCTACAATTTTTACTTTTTTTTTTTCTTTCTGAATTATTATCAATTTCATTTTAGTTCCCGGGTAAATACACAATTTGGAGTTTAATTATAATAATTATTTTTAAAAAATATTTGATATAATATTTATTAATAGATAAAATAAATCTAAGTTTTTTTATTTTATTTTATTTTTATTTTTATTTTTTAAAGTTAAAGTTTGATAAATAGTGCAAATGTTTCAAAAATATTTATATAAGCATATGAATATGTTCTTTTTTAGTTTTTATGTATGAATTTTGGCTATTTAAATTTTACATTTTTCGAGGAAAAAATATCTCTTCTCACAAAACTTTATAATAAACATTATTTTATTCAAAACATAATTTCTATCTTTTATTTTTTTTATCACTCTTTAGTAATCCAAAACTAACTTAAAAAAAACTTTAGATGTTTGTTTTTTTTTTTTTGGTGAATTTAAAAATTAGTAAAAAATTAAATATTTGATATAATATTTTATACGATATAATATATATTAATGTAATATTTTATTTTTATTTTTTTTGAAAAGAATAGCGTTAATAAATATTAGTATTAAAACTTCCAAAGGCATGCATTTAAATAGAAGCTTTAATTTTAGTCTTTTGGAGTTTATTTTGAATTTGATTACGAATTTTAGTTTAAATAGTAGTTTGAATATGATATGTTTTAATAAAAAATGGTATATTTTTATAGAGAACTATGAGGATTTGTAGTTAAGAAAAAATTGAAATCAAACTGACTGAGTCTTTCAAAATATATCCAATTAAACATTACCTTAAAAGTATGTTTGGTTTGTGTATATGTTTTACACTTGCATATTAATTTGATGTTCTATAAGACATAATAGTGTATATTTTTTAAAATAGTAAAGAAATGGATAAAAGTTTTGTTCGGGGGATTGGATTGGATTTACACTATTCATTCAAATTTTTTTCCCCCAAAAATATCAAATCAAACACCTATTTTTCATTTTTTATATTATACTAAAAATCAATTTTACATTCAAAATATCACATCAACACCTATTTATATCATCACATCATACAACTATTCAAATTCAAAATTTTTACTATTCAAATCCCAACTCAAAATCCAAACCCCCAAACAAACACACCCTAAAATAACTGAAGCATCATTTTTGAATAAAATTGCAATTTTGGCTCTATCTATATAAATACACATGCACACATGATTGTAATATTGCCTTGCAAATCACATGAAAATATCTTTTATTTTAAAATCAATAGTAATATGTATTGTGTGGATTATTATCGGTTGTTATTGTTCATATACTGTGTATATACTTTATGCTCTGTCAGCAGGATACTGAATAATATCGTTTAATATATATATATATATATATATTAATATTTGCTATGTATATATATATATGTGTTTTGATTGCAGGGTAGGGTTTATGACAACAAGGCAGATAAGTGTGGTCCAGTGCATATAACCATTGGTGATGGTGGGAACAGAGAAGGTCTAGCCTCATCGTAAGTTGCTTGTTTATTTATTTATCTCTATTTTATTTTTATATATTTGATATCTTTATAGTAAAATAATAATCATATATGGTATTTTTAAATATATATAAATAAAAACTTTCTCTAATAATTCTTGAAGAAAAGAAAAGAAAAGAAAAGATAAAGGTTATTTTTATTTAGAATTTAGATTTGGATTTGAGATTTGTAAATTAAAATTTTAAATAGAAATATTGTGGTTATATGATTATATAAATATGTGTTTAATATTATATTTTGAATGAAAATTTATTTATTTATATATTAAATAAAAATAAGTATTTTATTCAATAATGTTTAAAAAAAATTGAAAGAATAATGGGAGATTAAATCTAAACTTTGAAAGAAATACAGAAATCATATCATTAAAAAATAGGGGTTTGTTTACTTTGTGTTATTATATATATATATATATTTGTGGTTTGATTTTGTGTAAATTATTATTGAACGTGATATTTTAAATATAAAATTAATATATATTTTTTTAAAAAAGTATGATTTTGCATGATAAAGAAGGTGAAGGGAAAAAAAAAAAGAAAAACATCAAAGTAAATATAGACTTAAGTGTTGGATATAATTGTTATTATGTACTTAGTAGTGTTCTTCAACATGGTTGTAGAAATTTTTTTATTTTGGTGTTTTAATGTAAGGTTCGACGATCCAAGTCCATCGATTTCACTGTATCGGGAGCCAAGCTTCGGACACGGGCGACTGAGAGTGTTTAATGCGACTCATGCGCTGTGGTCGTGGCACCGGAACAACGAGACTAATGCAGCTGTGGCAGATCAAGTATGGCTCGAAAACTTGAGCTCTTCTTGTCTTGGTACCAAACCCTCGTCGAAGTCTCGGAACGACGAGCTATAGGCAGTGTTGTTGATAGAATTGAAGTTTGATCGAGATTTGTGTGGACAGATTGATCATATATATTTATTGGATTGATACATTTGATTAAAAAGATTGGAAGTTTAGGTAGGGTGAAGAGAAGCTTCAATGTTGATTTACTTATATATATTGTGCTGGAATGATAGTCTGATTATGGTTTGTTACTTGTGCTGTATTAAACTTATTTCTTCAAATTAGAGACATTATTTTCTATTCAATCTTATAATTATTTTTAAAATATCAAAAATATTTCTCAAATTTATTTAAATACTGAAAATATATTATGTGGATGTATTTTTAATTTATTTATTTTCTTACGTAGGAACATGTAGATGCAATTTTTTTGAGTGTGCTCTAGAAAAATTCCTATCAAATCCATTATTTTGTATAAAAAAAATGGATAAACTGTCCATTTTCATTTTAGTTCCGTTACTAGCGCTTGTATTGAAATTGTCCCGTAAGTAACAATTTTTGACACATTTGGTCTTCAATGCCGGAGATGCCTGTGTCGCACTCACATAATAAGCCGAAGGACATGTGAAAAAATTATTTATATTTTTTAAATTGATGTATTTTGATATTTTTGTATATATATATTTTTTTAAAAAATAGTTTTCTACGTGTCCGGTAGGTACTACTACTTACCTGACGGACACGTGTTTTACGACATGCCACGCGGGTGTCATGCAGATATCTCCGGTGTTGAATAGGGTGTGTTTGTTTGAAGGATTTTGGAGGATTTCCACTATTAATCCAATTTTTTCCCCCAAAAAATATCAAATCAAACACCTATTTTTCATTTTTTATATTATACTAAAAATCAATTTTACATTCAAAACATCACATCAAACCCTATTTATATCACATCATACAACTATTCAAATTCAAAATTTTTACTATTCAAATCCCAATCCAAAATCCAAACCCCCAAACAAACACACCCTTAAATGTACCAACAAATTTTATTTACGGAACTATTTCAATACAAGTTTTAATTACGGGATTAACATGATAAGGGAGCAGTTATAAATAATAAAGATATAAAGATCTTGACAAGATAGGAAGACGCACGATCAAATCTTTTAAATGTGGAAAACAACATCCGATAAAAAAAGAAAGATTATAAAATTTTTCTGTTAGTCAGTCAAAATACGCCACGTGACATCATTAAAAATGAAGCTGAAACCACCCATCTTTTATAAATAGGAGTCATAGCCAATTCATTTGACACCGAAGTTACATCGAGGATTCAAGCAAAGGGGTAAGTCTTTCGACTCTCTATGTATTGTTCTTCATGTTCTTTGTATCCTTCGAAATGTTCTTCGTTGAAAGTCATTGATTTGGACAAATGATCCAATATTGGTTGACGAATCGATGAAGTTAACGTTCTTTGTCGTATGCCCAAATTGGAGGGAGGATTAAAGTTTCAATAGCTGTTGAAGGATCTGTCAAAGCCAAGAAAGAACCTCCAAAGTTCATCCCAAAACTTCAAGGCTTTCGTCGTCTTCTTCGTCAAAAGTATAAACCAGGCCCTCTTCGATCCAAAAGTCAAAAAAGGACACGACGCCAAAAGTGTTATGGAGTTTCAAGTCCACTTCCTCAAGGTTCAAGTGAGGGTCCTCGTGGTGTAATTTGAAGCGATGTCTATTGGCCACACTTTTTCTTCGGCTTAAAATTTTGATTCTCCTTATGACACTTTCTCGCTGCTAGCAATGGTGATCCCTTGGGAATCCATCTACACTTTTCGACAATCCTTTTTTTTTCTCTTACTCTTTGTCATCTCGTCAGTTGGTCTTTTCTCTAACTGTTTCGTCAACACAGTTCTTTGTTTATTCTCATTACCAACTTCATAAGTTTCCTGCACCACAAAATTAAGAACATTAATTGCATATAACGATTCAGATTCAACAGGAAATTCGATGGGATTAAAAATATTGAAATGAAATTCTTTCCCATCAAACTCCAAGTTGACTGTGCCCTTTTTAACATCTATTTTTGTTCCTGCAGTGCACATAAAAGGTCTTCCTAACAAAAGAGGTGGTGGATTAAAGCAGTGTGCATCATGCATATCAAGAATATAAAAATCAACAGGAAAAATTAAGTCATTAACTTGAACTAGTACATCTTCTATCATACCATCAAGATAAACATTAGTTCGATTAGCAAGTTGAATAATAATTCCTGTTTCTTTTAGAGGCCCAAGATTTAAAGAGTCGTATATTGATCGAGGCGTGACATTTATAGCAGCTCCTAGATCTAGCATAGCCTCAGTTAGCTCAGTTTTTTCAATCTTATAAGGGATAGAAAACATACCTGGATCACCTGTTTTAGGCGGTACCTTTATTTTGAAAACAACAGAAACGTTCTCACCCGCTATAATTTACTTATCCCCTCGAAATTTTCTCTTGTTGGTGCACAGTTCTTTCAAAAATTTTGTATACTTGGGGATTTGGTTGATAGCTTCCAGGAGCGAGATATTAAGTTTCACCTTCTTGAATATTTCCATCATCTCTTTTCGTTTGTTTGCCTTTTGTAGTTTCTTCAACCTGTCAGGAAAATGAGCTGATTTAGCTTCAGTAGGAGGAACAGAGTTAGGAGGTAGCTTTTTGTGAATTTTAGCTTCTTTTTCAATCTCCATCTCAATCTGATCCTCATTCTGTTCCTTTGAGATAGGAGGTAGACCTTCCAATTCCTTTCCGCTACGAAGGGTTATAGCACTCGTATTCTTTTGATTAGGTCGGGAAGGACATTCAACCATCGTATCACTGCAGATAGTGATGGCGCTGACATTTGTTGGATTTGGCTCAGGCTGAGCGGGCCACTTTTCTCTTTCACGTAGTTGTCTTACCTCATCTGACACTTGATTGATCTGACCTTGTAATTTGTCAAATGTTGATCTCATCTCTTGTTGGAACATTTTCATCTCTTGTTGGAACTGCAAGGTAGTGGTAGCCATAGACTTCACGAAGTCTTCCAAAGACGGACTGAAGTTGCTTGTGGGTGCTTGGGGCGGCTGTTTCTCATAGAATCGAGGTTGTTGTATCTGCTACGTAGCTCCGAATGGGTGAAGAATATTACTCTGCCGTGCGTTTCTATAGTGTAGGTTCGAATGATCTCTCCAGCCTGGATTGTAGTTGTTGGAGTACGGGTTGTACACTGGAGGTCCATTCACACCATAGTTTGTAGCGTTTACATCCGCTGCATAGCCTTCTTGGAGGGTCGGGCATGCATCCATAGGGTGGCTGATAACTCTTGATTTTGTCATATTTTATAGCTTATATTTATTTAATTAATTATTTATTTATGTCGAATTTAGGTATTATTTATGTTAATTTACTCTAATAATTGTATTTATTTCATCTTGTTTGTATACTATTAATTTATTAGTTTTTACGTGTAATTTATAATTATTTTGGTGTATAAATTAAATTAATTGATGTGTTTCTTAAATTATATTTTTAGGCATTATTTATGTGCTATTTAAGTATTTAGTTTTAGCTAAATTAATTTTATTTAATAAGTATTATTTATTTAAATAAATATTTATAAGGTGTTTATTATTTATATAGGTGAAATAATACTTGAAAACTGATATGGGAGTCCAAAACTAGCCTTAAAAAGTGAAAAAATGGCTTCAGAAGCGAAAAATCAGTCACCGGTGTACAAATCAACAAAACTCAACGGTCAACACAGAAAAGTCTACGCGCGAAAGTCAAAGTCAATCGCTGCGCGGAATTCAAGCGGCGGCTGTATTTATGAGCGCGGAAGGCAAGCGGCGGCTGACGCGGAAGGCAAGCGACGGCTGCACGGAAACAAGCGACGGCTGCACGGAAACTTTGGCGTTGAAGTGAGCGAAGCGATGGCGGATGGCACGGAAGGCAAGCGGCAGCTGACACGGAAATGTGAGCGAAGAGGCAGCTGGTGCGGAATTTGAGCGAAGAGGCGGCTAGCGTGGACTCTATGAGCTGCGGCTACATTTATTGCCGCTGGGTCAGCGGCTGCATTTAATGCCCAGACTCCCTCAGCTCTGTATTTATTTCTGCACTCTCTCAGCTCCCATATTTAATTCTTGCACTACTTTTTAGCCAATTTTTGGCTATTTTTGTGTAATATTTATTCTAGAACCTTCTAGAAAATAGGTAGATATTTATGGTTATTTTTAGAGGTAGTTAGTAGCTATTTTTAGAGATAGTTATTTATGGTTATTTTTAGAGGTAGTTAGTAGCTATTTTTAGAGGTAGTTAGTAGTTATTTTTAGAAGTAGTTATTCATGGATGGTTGTAATCGCGAAGCTTCTTTTTTCCCTATAAATATCCCCTCTAATTGTACCATACATACATATATACACACCATATATACACAATTATATACATTCCATATACTCCATTTTTTCTCCAAAAATCTTCGATCAAATTTTGGCGCCGTTGCCGGGGAATATGCCTAGTATCTTTGTTTTAATTGAAAAATATTGAGTTTCTTGCTAATTTAATTTTAATATTGAATTCTATTTTATTTTGAACATTTAATCCATTGGCGGTATGCTTTGTAGGTTTCAAGAATGCTTGAGGATCAAACTTGCACGGCATTTATCTTTCGAAAAAAAAAAATCTGCAGCAGCGCCTGGACCTTTGCCACTGCCCTGTGTTATTTCGTTTCTATATATAATAATAAAAAATAAATAAATAATATTAGTATAATAATAATAACGGTAATAATAAATAATATTAATAATAATTTTTTTTTTTTTTTTTTTTTTTTTTGTTCATTCAGGACAGATGATCCGCTCGTCCCTCTTGTGTGATATAAATTTAAGCGGATGTCTGTCCTTGTGAACTCCGTGCGCAAGCGGTGACTCGAAGCGCTCTCTACACCGTTGCTGCTAAAGATGTGAAGGCCGATGTCTTCTCCTTGCCGTTGGAAGCCACCGCTGAAGTCATGGGAGCGCCGGTTGCGCGAGTTCTCCCGATTCTTTCATCAGCCAAGCGGCGAAAACATGCGGGAGATGTGAGCGGGTCTGCAAGCGAAGCCAATTTCAGGCAAGTGCAGCGAAGCGGCGCAGACCAGCCCCTCCTGCAAGCGAAGCGATGAATTTATTCTTCTTTATTTTGGGCAAAAGTTCATTTTGTTCGACGGCGCCTACTAAAAAAATTCCCAAATCATAGTCTTGGGCTAGAGAAATTTCAGATTTCGAATCAATAGTCGGTAATTCCAGGTAAGAAGATTTTCATTTGTATATTCTTTCTTCCCCAAATTATTTCTCTCCATTTTCCATCGTTCACCCAGTACTTTCTTCCCTAAAATTTTCGCCGTTTCAGTAAGCCCTAGCTACTTACGCCTTCAATCTCTTCCTTGCTTCCGTCATCTTCATCACCTAATTTTGAGAAAAAAATCTGAATTTCACACCCAATTTTCTTTCAATTTCGTCAAGCCCTAATTCTCTTACCGCAATTCCCCCAATTTCTTTACAGTAACCTCTTTTCTCCCACCGACGACGATGAAGCCAACCACACCACTTGCTCCAATTCTAGCTGCCTACGAATCCACCGGTAAACATCGGAAGAAAGGTTGTATTATTCAATTTCACCTTCTCTTGCCTATTTTCATCGAATTTCTTAATTTCGAACATAATACTAATAATCTGAAAATTTGCAGGGGCTGCTATGGGATGGATTGTACCTCTTGTAATTATGTTAATTATACTCCTTATGATATTTAATTTAGGATTTAGTTTTGATTAGAATTAAATTATGTTGGAATATGGATTTGGTTTAGATTGGATTTAGTTGTCGAATTTATATACATAGTTGGTATATGATTGGTGAATTGCAGACTGTCTAGGAGATTTTTTTTTATTTTCTTATGATGATTTTAGGATTAATCGATAATTTAGACAAGGCACGAACAGCCTCCAAGGGCTGATTGCAGATTGTGTTGAATTGATTCGATTTGAGTAATTTAAGGCATTCGATGGAAAATCTGCATATAACAAGCTGTTGCTGTGCGCGTATTCTGGAATTTTCAGAATGTTGAGAAATAGATTTGACACTTAGTTTGCAATAAGTGTAAGGATGTCGATGTTTGGAAAGTTCCTAAACCACGAAGATACTTCCATGATGTTGAAAAATCCCTACCGAGCTTACTCAAGGTTGTTCGAGGACGAACAACAATTCAAGTGTGAGGAGAGAAGTCATCAGCACCACCAAAAATTTTGAAAGAATCTAGTTGCACAAGACATGAATCAGGGAAGTTCTTGATTCCCTTATCGATTATTTATGCCGGCTTATTTATTGATTGCTAATTTGTTGTTTTGTAGAATAATTGCTTCTTAGATAAATTAATAGTTGTAATATAGTTGATTAGATTAATTTTGAGAGCAGTTGTACATTTTTTAGCTTACTGTTACTTAGTTGTTTTGGTTCATCCTTGATCCTAACTGTACCATTTTAGGCTAGTTTAGTTGGCTTTAGTTGCGGTAGCGTAGAATTAGTTAGCTTAACTAGTTATATATTTTCTCTTTTGTATTTTTAGTTGGGTGTTCTGCTATAGTTTTTAGCCTTATACAATATGTTGCTCACTTTAAGTTTTGTTAGATTTAGTGCTGCATGTTTAGTTTAGTTGATGCATACTTGTTGATTGCATTAGGCTAGCTTACTAGATAGTCTTAGAAATCTTCTGCTGCTGAGTATTATTGATGGGATAATTGTTAAGTTATACTTTTCTTCTTCTTTAGTTTAAGGATTAGTGGTGTGATTAGAAGTTAGCACATAATTAATTAATTGGAAGTAGTTCAGATAGGGCATTCTTTAGTCTCGTATTAGAAAGTGTGTGTTTGCTAAATGTACCCTTCATTAGCTTTTGGCTGGTATGATGCTATTCAATTCATTTTACTAGCTTATTGATTAATTATGTAAACATTGGATTGATTGTCTCAAAACCTCGTCTAGGCTCGGCTGGTTGCTTGATTGATCGTGTTTTTGATCGAAGGAAAGAGGTCTTGCTGTTTAGATGAATATTCAATAAAAACCCTCCGAACATGCTGCTGCTGGTTCCATAATCTGAAAGTTTCAGATTTATTCCATACTGATTTGACATTTATTTTGAAATAAGTGTGAGGCGTCTGTTTTGAAGATTTCCGAGCAGCGAAGAAATCGAAAAGGGAGTTTCATAACATCATGTTTTAATTGATTACATCTATATGAACCGTGCTATTTTTGAATTGTTATTTGGTTTGATTGCAGTCCCTCTCACGAGCTAATCAAGTTGTTCAAGAGCGAATAACAATTCAAATGTGAGGAGTTGCGGGAATTTGGATCGGCAACACCAAAAATTTTGAAAAAGTTAAGGGTGCAAGACCTGCAAAATCAAGGAAGTTTGTTTGCCTTATTGATAGAATATTTTAGCTTGCTAATTTTTTGACTGCTAACTTGTTAGATAGTAGAATATGTGTTACGTAGATAAATTAATAATCGTAATATAATTGCAGCAGTTTAATTTTCAGATTGGTTTAGAAGTAATGATAGCATAATTTAGCTTGTTGTGTAGACAGATCGGTTAGTTCTAAGTTCTGTTCATAGTCTACGTAACTTAGTCTTAGTAATAGGGTTGTTCAATGGATATTTATTTGAGTACTTGTTTGACTTAATTTTAAGAGACTAGGTTGTAGTCTATCTTTCTTCAGAGCATTAGTTTAGGATGTTGATTATTTGTATGCTTTTGTTTAGCCGTAGTTTAATTCTAGTTTTAATTTTATAATAATGTGTATTCTCAGCCGTAATAAATAATATGAGCTAATTAATTTATTTTGGCTTAAATTATTCATATCTATTTTGAATTTATTTTGTTTAATTTATTGTTGTCTAATTTATGTTGAATTAAATTATTTTATATATTTATTTTTATTTAAAATAAAATTAGCCGTGAAATATGTTATTTTCTCGAGTCAATCGATTTTCATTGTGCTTAATTTGAGTTTGAAATTGAATCTATTCAATAATTGAAATTCTTTTGAGTATGAGTATAAATTGGGGTTTTGATAAAATTGGTTGATATCTCATTCGTTTCATTTATTCCATACATAGTCTAATTTTTAGAACTTTCGTCTATTTAGCTGCGCTTGTTAGCGGAGATGATGAATTAAGTTTCCTTAAAAATGAGATTGACGAACGAATAGTGTGAGGAAGATGCCGATTATCTTTATATGCGACTTGACTTGGCAAAAAAAAAAATCGATGCGAAAAATGTCGAAATTAATTTATCGGTAGCAATGTCTACCGGGCCGCCTTGTTTATTAATTTATGGTTTATTATGGCGGTTTATTTAAAGCTTTGAGTCGTCGCATCATTTTTAGAAGCTACTCCGAACACTTAAGTTTGAAAATATTTCGGGAGACATAATTTCGAATCTTTGCAGATGAGCAATATCGCGTAAATGGCTTAAGGACCTGAATTTTAGCTAAGTTTCGTTTACACACCACCGTTGATATTGCCGACAATATTGAGTCCTTATTTAGAAAATATTCGAGGACGAATAAAGGTTAAGTGTAAGAAGTTTGATAACTTTTGATTTTGTCATATTTTATAGCTTATATTTATTCAATTAATTATTTATTTATGTCGAATTTTGGTATTATTTATGTTAATTTACTCTAACAATTGTATATATTTCATCTTGTTTGTACAATGTTAATTTATTAGTTTTTAAGTGTAATTTATAATTATTTGGTGTATAAATTAAATTAATTGATGTGTTTCTTAAATTATATTTTTAGGCATTATTTATGTGCTATTTAAGTATTTAGTTTTGGCTAAATTAATTTTATATAATAAGTATTATTTATTTAAATAAATATTTATAAGTGTTTATTATTTATATAGGTGAAATAATACTTGAAAACTGATATGGGAGTCCAAAAATGGCCTTAAAAAGCGAAAAAATAGCTTTAGAAGCGAAAAAATAGTCACCGGTGCGAAAATCAACAAAAGTCAACGGTCAACGCAGAAAAGTCAATGCGCAAAAGTCAAAGTTAACCGTTGCACGGAATTCAAGCGGTGGCTTCTGCGGAAAGTAAGCGGCGGCTAGCGCGAACGCGGAAGGCAAGCGAGCGCGGAAGGCGAGCGGCGGCTGTATTTATGAGCGTGGAAGGCAAGCAGCCGCTGACGCGGAAGGTAAGCGACGGCTGCACGGAAACAAGCGACGGCTGCACGGAAACTTTGGCGTTGAAGTGAGCGAAGCGATGGCGGCTAGCACGGAAGGCAAGCGGCGGCTGACACGGAAATGTGAGCGGAGCGGAAGGCCATGCGTGGAAGTGAGCGAAGCGGCAGCTGGTGCGGAATTTGATCGGCGGCTGGTGCGGACTCCATGAGCGGCGGCTGCATTAATTCTCACTGCATTTATTGCCGTTGGATCAGCGGCTGCATTTAATGTCAGACTCCCTCAGCTCTGCATTTATTTCTGCACTCTCTCAACTCCCATATTTAATTCCTGGAGCACACAACGTCGAACTCTTGCAAGTGTTTGTGAGGTTCTTCACCTGCATGTCCATGAAAAGAAGACAATAAATGAATTAAACCAGATTTCAGTTCAAAAGCAACGGCGTTATTGAATGTTGGAAAGTTAATGCATAAGGGCTGCTGCGCCAAGTCGGGAGCAGCCCACTCCCTTAGAATGCGGGTATCCTCAGCCATGACAGTTTCTTGATCACTTTTAGAGTCTTTAGAGCTAGAGATTTTGAGGTGGTTTAAAGATTCTTCCAGCTTCGCAACCTGAGCAGTTTTCATTGCTTGGCTTCCTTTCGCAGCTTTCGCTCAACCTTCTCGATCTCAAAATTAAATATCAGTTCACCTGTACGAGAAGAACGGGGCATAAACAAGATGATAAATTAAAATAACACGAAAGAGTATAACAAAACGCCAATCCCCGGCAATGGCGCCAAAAATTGACCTATCGCGCGGTCAATCAAATAATTCACCTATTCCGTTATTACAATTCAATGTAATACATGGGAAGAGATAGTCTCCACAGGGATTGCGTGATTTACTCTTTCGCGTTCTAATGCAGTAAATAAAAGGGGAGAATTTTCTTTTATTATCTAATGAAGACAAAATAACAAAACAATTAAATCGACAGGGAACTAGCTATCAAGGGGATGCTTGTCTCAAGGGATGATGCAGTTACGACACTTGTATTTTATCATTAATTCAATAAAGTTAATTCTTATTAAAATATCAATAAATTGGTTATAGTTATTAACAAGCTCTGACAACCAATTTTTCCTTACAGTGTAGGTAATTAAGGTACGACCGTTAACTACCCCTGATTAAGCAAATAAACCTAGGTGCGCCAATAAGAAATATTGCCTAATCGCATTCTAATCTAGAAAAACCCAATTCAAAACAATTACTACCTAAGAGGAGCAATTAGGTTTGATTTTCTAACCCCCAAGAAGGAACTATTCAACCCGGTTGTCACATATCAAGTGCGAATACAATTACGGATATCCTACCTGAATTGACTTTAGATTATCAGATTAATTCAAATATCGGCACCAAAATATTCAATCAATCTAACAATCACAAACGTTATTCTCAAAATTAGACAAATATTGATAATCAAAAAGAACTTTTATAAAGAAAATTAAGAATCTCCAAAACAAAGGAACCAAAACATTATCATCCCTCAAACCAGAAAAGTATCTACTCCATAATCAAATAATAAAGAACAATAGAGAAAGATAAAGTCATAGCGGGAGGGCAAATCTTCTATGTCGATTTGCTCCTATGCGATCTATGAGTCTATCAGTCTCCTGCTCCTGTGCGTATCTGCTCTGGCCGTTCTCTCATCTCTTTCTGCGTGTGATCCTCTCATTTTATTTAATTTTTGCCCTAATTATTTTGTACATGGGCTTTTGGGCCTTTAATTAAATTCCTATGTCAAGAGGGTATTGTTGGTCATGGTCATGATTAACTAGGTGGTGCAAATCTAAATTTTTATTTACTTTTTCTGCCAATTACGCCAAATTTGATATTTACCCTTTGCACACAACAAATAAACAATACGTATATAAATTAGGTAGAATCCAATCAAAATCACTCAAATATCGCATATGATATGAACATAAAAACGCATGTGATTTCTAGCTATCAGTTGACGATCAAATCGCCCACATGGAGACCAAAACTCTCCAAAAGCTGGCAAGCCAAACCAAAAATCAAAGCCTCGGATCGTCCATAAAAGACATCAAATCCAAAAGCCGATGATCAAATTGTCAACATGGAGACCAAAGCCCTCTAAAAGCCGGCAAAGCCAAACCAAATATCAAAGTTTTGAATTGTCCAAAGAAGATATCAAATCCAAAACAGACGATCAAATCGCTGACACAGAGACCAAATCCCTCCAAAAGTTGGCAAAGTCAAACCGAAGACCAAATTCCTTTGGATCGTCCAAAGAAGACACCAAAGTCAAAGCCGACGATCAAATTTCCAACACGGAAACCAAAGCCCTCCAAAAGCCGGAAAAGTCAAACCGAAGACCAAATTCCTTCGGATTGTCCAAAGAAGACAACAAAGTCAAATCTGGTGATCAAATTGCCCCCACGGAGACCAAAACCCTTAAAAGTTCAAAAAACTTAACTGGAGTACCAAATCCATCTCCACAAATATCAAAGCCCCAAATCTATTAAAAGGATTCTTCAAAGCCAAAGCCGACGATCAAACCGACCACACGGAAAACCAAAGCCCTCCAAAAGCCGGCAAAGCCAAACCAAAGATTAAAGCCTCGGATCATCCAAAGAAGACATCAAATCCAAAACCGACGATCAAATCACCCATACGGAGACCAAAGTCCTCCAAAAGCCAGCAAAGCCAAACCAAGGTTCAAAGTCTCGGATCGTCCAAAGATGACATCAAATCCAAAGCTGATGATCAAATTGTCCACACGGAGACCAAAGCCCTCCAAAACCCGGCAAAGCCAAACCAAAGATTAAAACCTCGGTTCGTTCAAAGAAGATATCAAATCCAAAGCTGACAATCAAATCACCCATACGGAGACCAAAGCCCTTCAAAAGCCGGCAAAGCCAAATCAAAGATCAAAGCCTCGGATCATCGAACGAGGACATCAAACCCAAAGCAGACGATCAAATTGCCCACACGGAGACTAAAGCCCTCCAAAAGCCGGAAAAGCCAAACCAAAGATTAAAGCTTCGGATCGTCCAAAGAATACATCAAAGCCAAAGTTGATGATCAAATCTCGTACACGAAGACCAAAGCCCTCAGAAAACCAGAAAAACCAAACCGAAGACCAAATTTCTTCGTATCGTCCAAAGAAGACATCAAAGTCAAAGCCAATTATTAAATTTTCCGTACAGAGAACAAAGCCCTTCAAAGTTCGGCAAAGCCAAACTAGAGTACCAAATCCACCTCCACAAATATCAAGGCCCCATATCCATCGAAAGGATTCTTCAAAGCCAAAGTCAAAGATCAAAATCGCTCGCATGAAGACCAAAACCCTATAAAGTCCGACAAAGTCAAACCGAAGACCAAATCCCTTTGGATCAAAGAAGCCATCCAAATCCAAGTTGAAATACAAATCGACCAGAAAAAAGAATCAAGAAACCCAAATAGAGAATATGACCCGCTTTAAATCTAAATTAAATATAATTTGTATAATTTTTGTATTTATGAAAAATAGCACAATATTTTGTCCACAATATATATATGACATAT